TGCTGATTTTGATGATGTGCTGCTGATGATGATGACGATGATGCTGATGACGATGATGATGCTGCTGATGATGATGACGATGATGGCGATGCTGCTGATGATAATGATGATGATGTCGAGGATGCTGATGCTGCTGAAGCTGATGTTGATGATGAGGATGATGTTGCTGCTGGTGCTGATGCTGGTGCTTCTGATGACGACGATGACGATACTGATGATGCTGATGATGATGCTGGTGATGCTGCTGATAATGCTGAATCTCATGCTGATGATGCTGCTGATGCTGATGATGATGATGATGAGGATGAGGATGCTGCTGCTGATTATGATGATGATGATGATGACGATGATGATGCTGCTGCTGGTGCTGATGATGACGATGCTGATTCTGATTATGATGCTGATGATGATGATGCTGCTGCTGATGATGATGATGACGATGCTGATGAGGATGATGATGATGATGATGCTGATGATGATGATGATGATGATGATGATGATGATGATGATGATGATGATGATGATGATGATGCTGCTGATGATGATGATGATGATGATGATGAGGAGGAGGAGGAGGAGGAGGATAATGATGATGATGATGATGATGATGATGATGATGATGATGATGATGATGCTTATGATGATGACGATTCTGATGATGATGAGGAGGAGGAGGAGGCGGAGGAAGAGGAGGCGGAGGAGGAGGAGGCATGGCGGAGGCATGGCGGATGAGGACAACGAGCAGGAGCAGGAAGAGGAGGAGTTGGATGAGGAGGAGGAGGAGGAGGAGGAGGCGGAGGAGGATGAGAAGGAGGGGGAGACGGAGTAGGCGTAGGAGTAGGAATAGAAGTAGAACGAAAAAGAGGGTGGATGATGATTAGGATGGGCATGACGACGATGCTGCTGCTGACGATGGCGATGATGCTGATGATGATGATGCTGCTGCTGATGGAAATGTCGATGCTGCTGATGATGGCGACTATGCTGCTCATGACGGTGATGCTGCTGATGATACTCATGATGCTGATGATGATGCTGCTGCTGATGATGATACTGATGACGATGATGATGACATTGATGATGATGCTGATGATGATGATGATGCTGATGATGATGATGAATATGATGCTGATGATGATGTTGATGATGATGATGAAGATGCTGATGATGCTGCTGAAGATGCTGATGATGCTGCTGCTGTTGCTGCTCATGATAAGGATTTGATGTGGAGGCACCGATGGTGATGATGTTCTGCTGCTGATGATGATGATGCTGAGGCAGATAACGGTTAGGATGATGATGCTGATATTGATGCTGATGCTGATGATGGTGATGATAATGATGATGATGCTGCTGAGGCTGATGATGATGAGGATGATGATGATGATGGTGATGATGATGATGATGATGATGATGATGATGATGCTGATCATGATGATGATGATGATGATGATGATGCGGATGCTGATGGTGATGATGATAATGATGCTGATGATGCTGATGCTGCTGCTGATGTCGATGACGACGATGATGATGCTGCTGATGATGGTACTGACAATGGTAATGATGCTTCTGCTGCTGATGCTGAAGCTGAAGACGATGCTGGTGATGATGATGCTGATGATGATGATGACGATGATGATGATTCTGATGCTGATGCTGATGATGATGATGATGCTGATGATGATGATGATGATGATGATGATGAGGATGAGGCTGCTTATGATGTTGATGCTGATGAGGAGAGGGAGGAAGAGGAGTGGCAGGAGAGTATAGGAGTAGGAGTATGAGTAGGAGTAGGAGTAATATGATGATGATGCTGCTGATGCTGATGCTGATGCTGCTGATGATGATGAGGATGATGCTGAGCATGAGCATGATACTGATGCTGATGCTGGAGATGATGCTGATGCTGATGATGCTGATGATGCTGATGATGATGCTGACGATGATGCTGATGATGATGGTGATGATGCTGACGATGCTGATGATGGTGATGATGCTGATGATGACGCTGATGATGCTGATGATGATGCTGATGATGATCATGACGCTGAGGATGACGCTGCTGCTGATGCTGATGCTGATGATGATGATGCTGATGCTGATCATGCTGATGCTGATGATGATGCTGATGATGAAGATGATGCTGATGACGACGATGATGCTGTTGATGCTGATGATGATGACGATGATGACGATGCTGATGATGCTGCTGATGATGATGATGATGATGCTGCTGATGCTGATGCCGCCGCTGCCGCGGTTGATGAAGACGATGCTGATGATGATTCTGATGATGATGACGATGCTGATGATGATGATGATGATGATGATGGTGGTCATGACGATGACGATGACGACGACGACGATGATGATGATGATGTTGATGATGATGATGCTGAAGATGAGGATGCTTATGCTTATGCTGATGCTGCTGCTGATGATGATGCTGCTGCTGATGATGATGCTGATGATGATGATGATGTGATGATGATGCCGGATGATGCTGATGCTGATGATGCTGATATGATGATGATGCGGATGATGTTGTTGATGATGATGATGATGATGATGAGATGATGATGATGATGATGCTGATGATGTGATGATGCTGATGATGATGATGATGCTGATGCTGGAGATGATGCTGATGCTGATGATGCTGATGATTGGATGATGCTGATGATTGATGATGATGAGAGGATGAGGAGGAGGATGAGGATGAGGATGAGGATGATGATGAGGGTGATGATGATGATGATGATGATGATGATGATGATGATGATGATGAGGATGCGGATGATGATGATGATGCTGATGATGATGAATGATGATGATGATGATGATGATGCTGATGATGATGTGATGATGATGATGTGATGATGTGATGATGATGTGATGATGATGATGATGATGATGATGCGGAGGAGGATGGGAGGGGAGGAGGAGGAGGGGAGGAAGGAGGAGGAGGAGGGAGAGAGGTCGTGGAGGAGCAGGAGCGGAGCAGGAAGCTTCTCGGAGGAGGAGGAAGGAGGAGAGGCGAGGAGGAGGAGGCAGGAGGAGGAGGAGGGGGAGGAGGAGGAAAGGTCGTGGAGGAGGAGGAGCAGGAGGAGGAGGAGGAGGAGGAGGAGGAGGAGGAGGAGGAGGAGGAGGAGGAGGAGGCGGAGCAGGGGGAGGACGAGGAGGAGGCACGCATGGCAGCGAGGCACGGCGCTCGGCGCGGCGGTGGATGGATTCCGCGGCGGGTGCTCGTGGAGGGCGCGAGCGCACGCGCGTCGTGCCTGGAGGGTGACAGCGATGGCAGTCTTCGCTCTAGCACGCCCTAGGAGGCGGAGATGCGATATTCAGGGGGGACAAAACCACCCCGATTCCGAGACCTTGATGGGCTTGTTTTTCCACCAACACCACCGTAAGCTTTAGGGGGGAAGGATGTGGAGGATGCGGAGGAGGAGGACGTTGAGGAGGAGGACCTCCCCCTCCTACTTCTGGTGGTGGCGATGGACGCCCACCACAACTAGCGTTTACGAACCAGCCCTACTGTGTACTAGCCAGTCCTGTTCGATTTCTCCCTTGGGTGCGTCTGCCAGAAGCCTTTCCTGTCGGGGTGCTGCTTGCGAGGGTGGATATTCTGCCCCATAGAGATTGAGTGACTGCTGTCTGGGCCGAGGCTGGTTTCGAGTCCTCTGCTCTCCGTCCGATCCACGGAGTCACCTCCGCAGCTTCGCGCCTGTGGTTCTTTTCGGCTTTGCTAGGTATCAAAAGGCCTCAAGTTCGGTTGTGTTCGGCGTCCTAACCGTTCCGCTTCGATTCGTCTATGCGTCGTTCGGGCCGATTCGGCTCATTCTTTGTCCGCTCTGGTCCGGGTGTGTGTGTGTGTGTGTGTGTGTGTGTTCGGCGTCCTTGACGTCTCCCTGGGCATCTTCCTCTTGCTGTTCATCGCCGGGTGGGCGCTGGGCAAGGTCATGGGAAGGGGGCAGATCCGAACAAAAGCACGCCTCGGGGCAACTCGAGGGAAGCGCATCTTCAAGGCGCGCCTAATTCATCGTCAACGATTTCGAGGGCCTCGGCGCTGGACCAGGCCGCGGACAGTGTGGGTGATCTACATTGCGCAGCCAGAGTACAGCCTCCTCGGGGGCGTTTTCAAGAAGTTCATGGAGGTGCTGGGCCGCTTGCGGGCCTTGGTCGCCTGTGTACTTCAGTTTTTGATGCTGTTCGACTTGCGGGACAAGTTCAGCGGCAAGACTGCAGACCACCTGAAGCAGAAGGGCAGGCAGGCGAGGACCACGGGATGGCACCCTCGCCGCAAACGCCCCTCACCTGGGAAGAGCGGCATGGCGCAGGCCAGGAGCACGACGACTTGGGGTTCTTCGTCTTCTCCGGAGCCGGCGCCAGGCACAGAGGAGGAAGAGGAGCGTGAGGTAGAGGCCGAGGAGGCTAAGGCTGAGGAGGAAGAGGTGCACCAGGCAGAGGAGGAGGAGGAGGAGGAGGAGGAGGTTCAGGAGGCAGAGGTGCAGGAGGAAGAGGTCGATCAGGTGACCACACCCTCTTCTGTCAATGAGGGCTTCTGGCAGAGAAGGGGGCTGAGAGGAGGAGCGCCGCAGGGCTACGACCCGGTGCGCGACCTCTGCGACACGCTGTCCAAGGTCCTGGCGGGGTACACGGACAGCACGGGCGGGCAGAAGGGAAGGGGCAAAGGCGCTCCCACGAGGAGGCAGGATGCCAAGGCGCAGCGCATGGGCGACTTGATCAGGGCGATCGAGAAGACCCTCAGCAATGCCAAGAAGGGAAGCTGGAGCATCGAGCAGCTCATCAAGGACCTCATGGGCACGATCAGAAACTTTCAGGCTCCAGCCAGCTACCAGGAGGAGGAAGAGGAGGCTGAGGAGGCAGAGGGGGCAGAGGGGGCACAGACCCGTCGAGGAAAAGGTAGAGGAGCGGAGGCGCCCTCCAAACCCTGCCCGGATACAGGAGGCGGCCGGGACGGCGGGCGCAAGGAGGCAGACAAGACGAGCAACCATCCGCGGTTGTCCAAGCTCGTCTGGAAGAAAGGGACGGTCTTCACGTACGCGGCCTACTGCCAGGCGATGGCCGAGGCGGACGCGAAGGAGACGATGAAGAACGCCGAGGTCATCCTCGCGCGCCCTGACCAGGTCAACGCGGTGCGGGACCTGGCGTCGGCGCAGCAGTGGAACGCTAACGTGGGCATCTTGGTACAGGTCGGGGGCAAGCCGGGCGAGAAGCCGCAGGACTGCCCCACTGCCGTGATGAAGTGGCTCCAGGTCGAAGGACGGGGGCAAGGAGAGACCGTGGAAGGGTGCTGGATCGTCCCGCTGGATACGCCCAGGGCCTGCCACTGAGCCTGGGCGGCGTGAAGATGACCCGAGCACAGGGTGCAGTCGCCAATAAGAACAACGCGACCGAAGAGCTCGTCACGCTCAGGGTGACGATGGTCCAGCGGTTTGCGTCGGAGCCCGCATGGAAGACCTCCATGCTGTGTGCGTTCCACAGCTTATGGAATACAGCAGGGGTGACCCGGACGTACGGGTTCAGGATTCTGGAGAGCGCGGATGACAAGGCCCGCACGTGCTTCGCGACAGTCCAGAAATCCAAAGCCGCAGCCATCCTAGCACAGAGTGGCAAAGCCGGCACTTTCGCAGAACAGCTCGTGTGCCAGCACGGGCGTGCAGTCGTCGAGTGGCAGATGCAGGAGGACGGGGAGGGGCCGGTCGCCTACCTGGAGCGGGTCTTGCGACGGGGACGCAGCAGCTCGGGCACAGACCTGGGCCTCGCCTTTCGGAGGGGCGGCAAATCCCAGCTCGGCTGGCGTCAGCCCCCCGGCGCTGCAGCGGCGCCCCCTGACAAGCCCCTCCTGTGGGAGGTGCGCGGAACGCCAGCGACGTGGTCTTAAGCTGACGTCGCCAGTTTCTTGGAGGACAACCAGTAGACCCAGGCCACAATGCTCCGCCCGCGGTGGGGCCGCCGGGGCTGGGTATTCAAGATGGTTCCCCCTGCGGGGGCCCACCTGCAGAACACTTGCGAGCTGCGCGACTCCACCGTGGTGAAGATCTGCAGAGAAGTGCGCCGGCAGGCTGGGATGGAGGCGCGCCCCATATCGGCGAAACCAGGATTCGTGCGCTCAGACCTGGTGGAGGCCGGAAAGAAGCGTGAGGAGAAGGCGGCGAAGGCCGAACCCTGGAAGGCGCAGGAGCTGGCGGCAGGCACGCAGGAGACAACAGGAGGCGCAGCTCCTGGCGAAGGAAAGCGGCAGCAGCAGGCAGCAGCAGGGACTGAACCTGGCGCCAAGAAGGCCGAAGGAATAGTGCCCGACAAGGTCCTCGGGTACAAGTCGTGGGACCTCGGCGGCTGCGGGGGCTGCTTCTACCGCGCGGTTGGGGCAGCCAAGGCGTTGCTCGAAGGCGAGACCCAGGAGGCGATCGAGAAGAACGCCGAGGGCATCGGGGCCAAGCTGCGCGCGGAAACCGCAGGGCTAATCCGCGCGCACAAACTGTGGCAGGACTCGTGTTTCAAGGGCGACAATGCCACGCCTCAGAAGGAAGGCGGCCCGGTCCCGGACACTTGGGACAGCTGGGTCACCGCGAATGCGCGGAAGGGCGGGTGGGTGGACGAGCGCGCAGCGTCGGCGCTCTGCCTGAGACTCGAGAGGCGGGTGGTCGTATTCCTGTGGCAGGCGGGGGAATGGCAGAAGGCGTGGGTGTTCAAACCCCCCGTTTGCGCCGGCCTCGAAAGGAAGAGGGCCAAGGCCATGAAGGCGGCGCCTCTCCCAGTGTGCCTGAAGGACGAACACTATTTCGCCCTCGCGCCGGGCGTCGCGAAGGCAGAATGGCCCATTGAGCGGGGGGAAGAGCCTGAGGAAGAGGTCAGCAAGCAGCTGTGCCGAGGAGCAGGCGACGGCGCAGACGACGGCGACCAAGGGTCGAACCTGCACGGGTGGTTCCAGAGCGACCGCCAGTCGGTCACCATCGCGGCCCGCGGCCGAGCAGTGCAGCAGCCGCAGGAACAGTCCGGGGCGGCTTCTCTTGCCGGATGGTTCCGGAGTTGTGCTTCCAGCACAGCAGCCGCGGCAACGGCAGACAGAGGCACCGCGTCCACGGCGGGCGCGACGAGCACCAGGAGGATCCGAGGCAAGCACCCCCCGCCTCGCCAGGTCCCTGAGGGCGAGGCGGAGGAGGAGGGGGAGGAGGCAGAGGCAGCATCCCAGGCCGCTCATGAGGAGGAGGCGGCGAAGGAACAGCAGGAGGAGGAGGAAGACCAGGCCGATCCCCCCACCTATGGACCGTCGACGTGGGAGGCGAACAACAGGGACACGCGCCAGCGGAACTACGAGGCGCAGTGGGCGAGGCACGGAGGCCGGCTGAGCAGGGCCGAGTGGGGCCGCCAGAGGGTCACCACCGAGCCGTGGGGTTGCCCCATGAAGGACTGTGGGTACGTCTGCACAGGCATCGCCAAGAAGACCGGTGTCTTCTCACTGGCCACGCGCCGCTCGCAGAAAAAGGAACACGGGCTCAAGTGCCACCCGGACGCAGATCCGCTCCCGGTCTCCGATCCCGTCGCCGCCCCGAGGTCGGAGGAGGAGGTCCGGCAGCAGCTCGCGCTACCCGCGGACGTCCCCGTCCCGGCGGAGCTCATGAACAGACAGCGCCGTAAGTGCGGAAAGTGGTGGCCCAGCGTGAGCGCTGCAGCGCATGCGAAGGCCGTCGCCGCCCGCAACAAGGCCGAGCACGCGGAAGACCGCCAGCAGGCCGGAGAGGCTCGCAAGAAGGCGCTCCAGGAGCAGAAGGAGGAAAACCGCGAGGCGGCAGCTGAGGGCAGGCAGCCACGGCAGCTCCACCTGGTGCGGCGGTGCGCGCGGGACAAGGACGACGCGGCCAGGAAAGCAGAGAAGAACCAGTGCCAGAGAGAGCGCTGGCAGAGGAAGAAGGACGAGGCGCTGGCAGCCGGCCTGCCGTGGCCCCCCCCTAGTCACAGAGAGCGGGTGGCCAAGAGCAGAGCCGAGCTGAAGGCTGAGGCCAGTGCGGCAGCCGATGCCAGGCCCGCGCAGGCCAGACGCAAAAGGCAGAAGGCCAGTTGACTGGTGGCGCTGGCCGCCCTCCCCCCTTCCCCTCCCCCCCTTCCCTTGTCCTTTGAGCTGGACGGCGGTTCGCCCCCCCCCCCCCCCCCCCCCCACCCCTCCCCCCCCCGACCACCCTCCCCCCCCTCCCCCCCTCCCTCGTCGCCGCGTCTGCGCGCGGCTCGTTCTTCCTCCACAGCCCTCCCTCCCTTTCCCCTCCCTCCCCCCCCCTTCCTCGTCGCCCGCGGGCTGGGCGCGGTCGCCCTCCCTCCCTCCCCCCCCCCCCCCCCCCTCCCTCCCTCGTCGCCTCGGCTTGGCGCGGCTCGTTCTTCTCCCTCCCCCTCCCCCCCCGGGCGGCCAGCCCGCCGACGCCCCCTCCTGCAGAGGGGGGGCGTGCGCGACGATGGCAAAGCCTCAGTCACCAGCTGGGGCCGGGAACAGCGCTCCTACCACGGTCTGGGCGTGCAACGTGCGCAAGCTGGCAGCTGCCTGGATCCTCGCGGGCACCGCGGTCGTCGAGGGGATCGGTGTGCTCATGCTGCAGGAAGAGAACGCCACTGGGGCTGAGATCGAGCACTTCCGCCGCTCTTTCTTCGGCAAAGGGTATAGGGCGTCGTGGGCCGAGGGCCCCACCAAGGCAGACGGCGGGCCGGGGGGGGCGTCATCACCCTCGTCGCCCGGAACCTCCGCAGCAAGTTCATGTGGAAGGTCTGGACTGACATCGGGCTGATGGTCGCCGCGCAGGCTTCCGACACCATGTTGGTCAACGTGTGCGCTCACCCTGGAGCTGGGCACGCCCAGGCCATGTTGGACAGCCTCCAGGAGGCCGTCATCAGTGACCAGGCGCGGTCGTGGGTAGCAGTGGGCGATTGGAATTGCACGCCCGAGGGCATTCAGCTCCCCTCGGAGTGGTGCCACCTTTCGGCGGTCACAGCCGAAGGCCAGATTCAGCCCACGAGGTGGCCGGGAGAGCACGGCGCGCCAAGATGCATTGAGTACTGCGTAGCGCACGGCAAAACAGTGAGGAACATGGCGTTTGAGCGCTTCAAGCTGAGCGACCACAAGTGCGTGAGCTTCCAGATCGACGGTCCTGCCGGCGGCCGCGTGCAGGAGCTCCAATTCCAGGGGCACCAGAATCTCTCCAGACCTGCCCAGACGCAGCCGGACACCTGGCTGGCGGTCGCGACGGAAATCTGGAGGGGCAGAGGAGGCGAGGTGCACGCGCCCGGCGGCTTCTTCGAGAACGCCCGGTGCACTGCAGAGCCAGGTTCTGACGAGGCCCAACAGTGGGTCACGGAGACGTGGAGAGATTTTGAGCGCGCGCTTGAAACGACGCTCCTCACGGTCAGGGACATGCTGCTGCTCCCGCTAGACCACGACCCCGACGACCCCGAGCAACGGAAAAATGGCGCGGCTGCGACGTGGACAGCGGCTGACTTTTCGGGGCAGGCAAACGCCCCGAGAGGCCAAGGCCCCAGGAGACGCCCAACACGAGGCGGAGGAGCAGGCGGCGGAGCTGCCGGCGGCAAGGCGCCGAAAGGAAACGTGGTGATCACGAAGGTGGACCGCAGCAGGGGTGGCGCCATCACCCGGGGCACCTTCCAAGAGAGGAAGCAGGCCAACGCTTTGGCCAGACTGCACAGACTCAAGTGGCTAGAAGAGCATGGCCGCGGCAGGGGCGAGGAGGCCCGCGCGCTCCGTGCGAAACTGGACGGGGCTCTGCCGCGCAAGGACTTTGACCAGGTGGGATCCCTCAGCACGCTAGCCCGCCAGCAGGCTGTCGCACGGCTGATAGACGACGCAGAGGTGAGGCTCAGGGCGCTCACCGAGGAACGGCGGGAGAAGCGGCTCGAGGACCGGCGCTCCCGGGTCCAGAGCACGCAGAGGAAAGCTCACGCATGGCTCAAGGATTTCACACCAAAAGACGTCATGGTGAAGGAAGGCGAGACAACGGCGCAGGACACCAACGAGGCGCTGGGCATGCTCCGCTGTTAAAGCCACCGTTCTTCAAAACGTTTCGCTTCTCTTACCTTTTCGGGTGATTTCCTACGCAAGCCCTTGTCCTCCTTCTCTGGCCCGTCCGATCCTCTCTCGGCCCTCCTCGCCTTCTTATTTCCAGCGTTCCCGCCTTTCCCTCGTTCCGATTCGTTCCTCCCGAAGGGTAATCCCCCTCCTCGCCCTTTCCCCGCCCCCCCGCCCCTGCCGCTCCGCCTGAGGAGGGAACGGGCGGGAGGCAGGGGGATAAGGAAGAAGGAGGAGGAGGGAACAGGCAAGAGGGCTCCTCTTGCAGGGAGAAAAGGAGGAGAGGAGTCCAGAGCCCCAGAGGAGGGGAGGGCAGGGGCCAGGAAGGGGAGAGGGGACAGGGGACAGGGACAGGAGTCAGGATGAGGAGGAAAGGAGAAAAAAAAAGTAACGGGGGGGGGGGGGGGGAGAAGGAGGAGGAGGAGGAGGAAGAGGAAAGAGGACGGAGGAGGAGAAGGAGGAAGGAGGAGGGGGAGGAGGAGGAGGAGGAGGAGGGGAGGAGGAGAGGGAAGAGGAGGAGGATCGGATCGGATTCGGAGGACGAGAGGAAGTCAGGAGGAGGAGGAGGCGAGGGGAGGAGGAGAAGGAGGGGAGGAGGAGGAGGGGAGGGAAGAGGCGGGCGGGGGGGAGGAGGCGGAGGAGGAGGAGGAGAGGAGTAAGGAGGAGGAGGAAGGAAAGGAGGAGAGGAGGCAGGGCGGAGTACGGAGATGGAGGAAGAGGAAGGAGGAGGAAAGAGGAGGAGGAGGAGAGGAGGAGGCGGAAAGGGGAGAGGAGGAGGGGAGGAGAGGAGCAGCAGCAGCAGCAGGAGGGGAGGAGGAAGAGAGGAGAAGAAGAAGAGGAGGTAGAGGAGGAGGAGGAGGAGGAGGGGAAGGAGGAGGAGAGAGGAGGAGGAGGAAAAGTAGAGGCGGAGGAAGAGGAGGAAAGGAGGAGGAAGAGGAGGAAGGAGGAGAAGGAGGAGGAAGAGGAGGGAGGAGAGGAGAGGGTCAAAAGAGGGAAAGGGAAGGAGAATAGCGGACATAGATGAGGAGAGATGAGGAGGAGGAGGAGGTAGGAGGTGAGGAGGGAAGGAGGAGGAGGAGGATGAAGAAGAAGGAGAAGGAGGGGAAGGAAGGAGGAGGAGGACGAGGATGAGGGAGGATGACAGGAAGAGGAGGTGGCTTCGCGCGAAGCGGCCTCGCGCGTGGCCGCGTGGCCCAAGCGCGCGGGCCTGCGGCCTGCGCCCCAGGCCTGCGCGCGCGCGCCCGCGCGCGCGGCGCCCGAGGGCCCGCGCAGGCGCGAGCCGCCCGCCGCCCGCCGCCGCCGCCGACGACGACGACGACGACGACGGACAGACGGACGTCGACAGACGTTGACGACGCCGACGCCGACGACGGCGACGGTCGTCGACAACGTCGTCAAACGTCGACAACAGTCGCCGACGACGACGACGACGACGGACGTCGACGACGACGACGGACGTCGAGGAGGAGGAGGATGAAAGGGGGGTAATAAAAAGGGGAAAGATACGAAAAGTGGGGAGAGAGAGGTGGGGAGGAGGATGATGAGGAGTGAGGAAGGAAGAGGAGGAGGGTGAGAATGAGAGGAAAGGAGGAAGGAGGAAGGAGGAGGAGGAGGAGGAGGCGGAGGAGGAAAAGAAGAATAGGAAAGGGGAGGAGGAGGAGAGGAGGAGGAGGAGGAGGAAGGAGGAGGAGGAGAGGGGGGAGGAGGAGGAGGAGGAGGAAGTAGAGGAGGAGGCAGAGGAGGAGGAGAAGGAGGAGGAACAGTGACTCCTCGTCCCTCACGCCCCCCCTTCAGGTGCACCCATCAGCATCCACCTCTCCACCCCGCCACCCTTCTCATCAGCGCCCTCCTCCCGAACGTGTTGCTTTTTCTTACCTTTTCGGGTGATTTCCTACGCAAGCCCTTGTCCTCCTTCTCTGTCCCCT